TCCCCTTACTTAAAACAATGGAAAGTAGTCAGAGTTAAAACAAATTACAGACACTTTGGTTAACAGTAACATGTTATGCATAAACCATGAGAAAGAATTTGGTTTGTTATGAGAAGAAGCTATGTCTGGTCTACAAACACCATCCCACAGAGAATGGTGTGGCCTTCAAGGTGAAACAGACTGAGTGAAAACTTTTATAGTGAGTAAATAGGATAAAATAATATACAATAGAAGAGAAATCTTAATTTTCCAATAACAGAAACTTCATTATCAGGGCTCTTGGTCCTAATCTGCTCTTTCCAGGCTCACCAAGGGTTGCAGCTCCTCATTCCCCAACGCCCCCGGTAACCACTTTTCCAAAAAGGCTCATAGATCTGGACCCTCGGCAACGTCCCGTAAATTCACAAGTCTCAAGTTATTCAGGCGAGACCTTGTTTCCAAGTCCATGAGTTTGTGCCCCATCGATTTTATTTTAAGCCTGCAAGGAACTCACGTTAGCTTGTAGATTAGCCACGTCATCTTCTCCAGTAGAAATAGAGTCCTCCACCCGTGACATACGTTCATTATAGTCTTTCATTTCTTGTTTTACATCTTGTAGTGTCACATCACTCCATTAAGGTTCACAGAGAACTCGTTTCTCAATGAATCCAGTGCAGCAAGGATTTGATCCGACTTACTATTGTCGGATTCACTTTTCCCTTCTTGAGCAGCCATGTTTTTGTCCTTTATGTTATGTTCAAACAGCTTTGTTTTCTTGGATGCCTCACTTTCCCTTTGTGTTGTCTAGTCGTGCTAGGCATTATACATCAGATTGTCCCTTTTTTTGAATCAATCTTTGTGAGCAGCGGTTATTTTCCCCTTATTGAAGCAACAAGCAGCAGGGCAAAGTACAATGCCTCTTCTCATGTGGCCGCCATAACCGGAAGCCTTTTTTTCTTTTTCTTTTATTAGTGAGTTTGGAACTTTATTAAATCACCCTATCTAACACATCGGTTGTATGGAAGCTGAGAGGCTCTCTGGTGCTTTATGGGTGGTTGAAAATGGCACAACTAGAAATATTTCAAAACCATTATTTCCATAGCAGCATTTTAATGATCAGACAAGAACACAGCCACCTAACTTTGTAAAGACATCTGTTTTGCAGATCTCATTGGTCTCAGCTGAAGGCTTTTAACTACAGTTTGTGGACTTCCTGATAGTAAAGAATTACAATAGTCCAGCCTTGAAGTAACAAATGCATGGACTAGTTTCTCAGCATCACCCCTGGACAGGATATTTCTCATTTTCGCAATATTCCTCAGATGAAACCTTTTTGTCCCTGATTATTATCTGAGACCAATTTAATCCATTCCAGATAAAGTGACTGACTAATCAGCTTCTTTTTCAAACCCAAAGATAAATACTTGTATTTTGTCTGCATACAGGTACAGAAAGTTAAGTCATCCAGGTTTTAATGTCTTCAAGACATGCCTGTAATCTATGTAATGGGTTAGCTTCATCTGGATTATAGACAGATATAGCTGGGTATCATCAGCATAACAGTGAAAATTAATCACATGCTGTCTAATAATTCTACCAATTGGGAGCATGTATAAAGTAAAGAGAATTGGTCCTAGCACTGATCCCTGTGGTACTCCACAGGTAACCTTTGAGCATGAGGAAGAGTTTTCTTTATTTTATTAACGTGAACATACTGAAACTGTTCAGATAAATATGATTCAAACCAGTCTAGTTCTGTTCCTTTAATTGCTACAAAATATTCAAGTCTTTCTAAAAGAAAATATTGATAAACTGTATCAAATGAGAACTAATAGGACATACAAGTCTATTATCTGAGACCAAGAGATTATCAGTTCTGACAATTCACAGCAGATCCTTCCCTTATCCTAATGGCTTTTGGAATACTGGTCATCCGTATCAATATTAATATGGTTCAACCATCAGACCCCTCCTTTATGCTGTCTATTGTAGTTTCTCCAATTGGTCTGGTCAAATTTCTTTTTCTTTGATTCTTCTGCACATCAAATGTATTTTTCTTCTGCAGTGAAAGCAGGTATGCTCCTCTTCAGTGATATGGCTGAGTTACTTTGCTCCTCTGTGATGGGAACCCAGACAAGAGTTCCCGGATGAGCAAAAACTTGCCCCTTTTAACGTGTCCAGAATGGGATACTGATTTCCATATAAGGGACTGAAGATGATCATGTCATCATCCGAGCTTTGTAGGCCTTCCTTCCTTCAGTACAGTCTAGACCAGGGGTGCCCAACCTTTTTTAAACCAAGATCTACTTTTGAAGTTGACGGCATGCCGAGATCTACCAAGCCAAACACAAGGGATGGGCAGTATTTGTTTTTTATTTGCACAGGTGGAGAATAAACAGTAAGTCCAACAAACGGGGAAATGATCAATTGTGTCAAAAAATAGGTAGCAAAAACAGAACTCAACAATCTCATAAGAACTTCACACCATATCACTCACTCACTCACTCACTCACTCACTCACTCACTCACTGAAACTATAGAAAAGAGCAGTCAAGATCTCCAGGCAAAGGCTGTGCAGTCAAAAAATCTAAATACACCAATTGATACACACACACAGTCCAGTAGAGAGAAAACAAAAAAACTTTACAACTGTAAATTTACAGTCATATGTTTATATCACTGTTTATATATATATATATATATATATTAGGGATGGAACGGTTTATGAAAACCGTCCGAACAGTTCGGTTCGACTGTCTCGGTTCGGTTCGCGTGTGTTTCATTCGGTTCATGCGCTGCTCCATTTTCTCATAGGCGAAGTGTTTACACTCCCGAGCAGAAGGTGGCGGTACTGCGACCAAAGCCAACTACCAGTAGTAAAGAAGAAGAAGCGAAGCGCAGCAGGGAAAAAAATCAGTTGTTGTGGAGAATTGTGTAGGTATGGCAAGTGGGAAAGAACAGGAGTTGGAAGACGCGCCAGCAGCACTTTGTAGGTCCCACTTTGCATTTAGATTGACCTACGATGACGGCGGAAAGAAAGTTGTGGATAAAAGTGCAACAGTGTGCAAGCATTGTGCGACACGTTTTGTTTACGCTAAAAGCAAATCCCACATACTCCGTCAGCAACCCCCACTCCGCCCCGCTGCCCTCCAGACCGGCTGCTCAAAGCAAAGCCTACAGCCTCCACTGTGGCTCCCTCCGCTCCCCTCTGAGTTCCTTGGAGATGGTAGAGAGCATGCGCCAGATGATTAAATTCAAAGCAGCAAAACATACGGAAATTATCCAGGGTTTCCGCGGATCATTTAAAATAATTACAATCCATTATTTTTTGGGGGATTTTTTCATTAATTCCATAAATTTTTATGGGATTTCGGTGTAACAATCGACATGTGTCGAATCGAACCGAACCGAAAACCGTGACCAGAAACCGTGAATCGAACCGAACCGTGGATTTCTTTTGTTTTTTGTTTTTTTGGGCTTTGAGGCTGTTGTGTGTTTTGCTACTTTTCAAGGCTGCACTTTAAAAAAAGATTAAATTGTCCAGAGAGATGTTCAAAACTAAATTTTCTTTTTGTTTTACACTTGTGTAAACAAAATGACAAATAAAATCTGTCTAAGATGACTTCAAAGCAGAAAGAAGGAGAAGGTAAGTCCCCTATTTCAGAATGATAAACTTCACTGGGCATTGGCAGAGAAACTGGCAGATGGATTAAAATTCAACAGGAAAACAGATAAAAATAGGAAAATACTAAGAACAAACTATGTGGATGTGAAGATGTAACATACAGCAGAATGGGTTGTTGTTTCTTTAATTTAGGGGAAAAGTTCCTGTGATGTTATGAGCCGGAAAGCTCTTGTACTCCAATACCCAGCATGCAATGGGGCGCGTGGCGTCACGGGTTGAAGGCTAGAGCGAGAGGGCAGTTCTGAATGTAGCTTGCTACTGAAAGGTTCTGTGGAAGTTTGGAAATAAATATACAGAACAAATATACAGAATAAACGCCTCTGAAAACTCCCGGCCCGAACAGAGCAAGCGATCTTCATCGCAGCGTCCATGACATGCTTCATATTTAAAATACTGCAGCACAGCTGTTGCTGAATGATGCAGTGGTTGATCCAAAAAATCCAGGAAAGTTTCAGACAGCTTGAACAGAGCAACGAATCCAGCAGTGAGCCCAACCATAGATGGAGCCCCATCAGTTGGGATAGATTTCATTATCTCATTATCTCTTCAGATTCCTCTTTGCAATTTAGAGTCCGTGGTAACACCCTAGCAACCGTGGCAAACCATGCCCAGCAATCAGCATACATAAAAAAGGTTCCCTGCATACTTTTTACTTCTCATTTTATTATTATGAAAATAGACGTTGGCCTCTCGTGATCAATGTTTTGATTATTTTTTTTAAAACGTTTTTGTTTTTTTTATGTCATAGCCATAAATAGATCTACATTGTAAAACTTCTCGCGATTGACTGAAACTCCGCCCGCGATCGACTGTTAGATCGCGATCGACTAGTTTGGCACCCCTGGTCTAGACTTATCAATAACTGAATTCTTCCAGCACTGTGATCTTTTTATCACTGTACCCACATCATTTTATGAAAAAACCATAGCCCTCTTGCCCTGTTGATTGCTACATTTTGCTTTTCCAGACGGCTTGATCATTGAGGCCTGTTTTTCTCTTTCTTACCATAATGTTTCTTTTTAATACGATAGAATAATTTAAAATCGGCTCAGCCTCTGACACATGGAGCTGGGGTATGTCTCTTCCAGGCAGAGATTTAGAGGTGCTGTTGAGTTTAGGGTGTCTCATTACTCCCTTATTTGCAAGACAGTCACATGTGGTGTTGGATGTAAATGCTTTACTTTCTTAAATGATTTCTTTTCACGAAACAAATTTAGGCCTTTGCTTTACTGGATCCACTTGTTCCTCAAACTAAAGGAGAGAGTTTGGTGCTTTATGTGAGGTGTCCTTTATTTAACCACCAATAGAAAGTCTTTCTGCTGTGTTTGTCTTTCAGACCACCGGCCGGATTATGTTGGAAAAGAGGAGGATTTCTCTGACCAGCAGCTCTATGAGCAGGAGAGAAATTCCAGTTTGGATGAAGAGGAACCAGAACCTTTGCAGATAAAAGAAGAGCAGCAAGAACCAGAACATTCCTGGACAAAAGAGGAAATCATTGAGGTCGCCATAGGTGAGCATAAGGAGCAGCTTTTTCTGAAGCAGGAGCCTGGATATAAGGAAGAGAAAACTTTCCAGTGTTTGACATGGGGAGAAAACTTTCTTAAAAACGAACATTTAATGGTTCACATGATTACCCACACAGGTGAGAAGACTGAAGGTGATCACCTCATCGTCTGGCCTTCCTTCCTCCAGTACAGTCTAGACTTATCAACAACTGAATTCTTCCAGCACTGTGATCCTTTTATCACTGTACCCACATCATTTTATAGTTCAAACAAATTTTACAGGGGAAGAAAACCATAGCCCTCTTGCCCTGCTGATTGCTACATTTTTAGCAAAAAATGGGGAAACTTTTCCAGACGGCTTGATCATTGAGGCCTGTTTTTCTCTTTCTTACCATAATGTTTCTTTTTAATACGATAGAATCATTTAAAATCTGCTCAGCCTCTGACACACTGAGCTGGGGTATGTCTCTTCCAGGCACAGGTGTAGAGGAAACGCTGCTGAGGCTAGGGTGTCTCATTACTCCCTTATTTGCCAGACAGTCACTGTGGTGTTGGATGTAAATGCTTTACTTTCTATGATGATTATTTGTTGAGAAACAAATTTAGGCCAGAATGAACTTCATCTCTTCAGGTTGCTTGATAGGATCCACTTGCTCCTCAGCCTCAAGGAGAGAGTTTGGTGCTTTTATGTGAGGTGTCCTTTATTTAACCACCTATAGAAAGTCTTTCTGCTGTGTTTGTCTTTCCAGACCGCCTGCAGGATTATGTTGGAAAAGAGGAGGATTTCTGTGGCCAGCAGCTCTGTGGACAGGAGAGGAATTCCAGTTTGGACCACGAGGAACAAGAAGCTCTGCAGATAAAAGAAGAGCTGCAAGAACCAGAACATCCCTGGACAAAAGAGGAAACCGTGGAGCTCCCCATAGGTGAGCATGAAGAGCAGCTTTTTCAGGAAAATGAAGAAACAGGAGAGAAACGTTTCCCATGTTTGACATGGGGAGAAAACTTTCTTAAAAAAGAACATTCAATGGTTCACATGAGAACTCCCTGGTTTAAATAATTCCAAGATAAGAGCAGAATTTTTAAAACTCCCTTTTGGTTTTGTGAAAGCTTATTTCTGCATGGTGAGACTTTGTTTTGCATCTGGGCCACATGTTTAACCTGGCATAAGCCAGATTGAAACACGTAGTTCTAAACAGTTCCTACACCGTATCAATCTGGGTATCGTTCTGTAGAACATGTCAGCAAAAGGGAGGGACATTCAGTACAATTCTTCGAGCTGATTGGATACCTACCTCCCATGTCGAGTTTTTAGCCAATCTCAGCCGCAAAAGCTGCAGAGAAATATTACATTCTTGGTTACTACTACCGTTTATGTTGTTAATTGATAAATCACATTCTTATCAAATCCTTTTTAGATGAAAACGCAAACATATTTTCCATCCACAGAGGCAAAATTCATGTCCTTTTGCTAATTTTTCTAAAAGAAAGATGAGGTAGTCCAGCTAAAACAGGCACAAATATATTTGCGCCTGTTTTATTATTTTAATTCAGCCTTCTGCCTCTGGTTGACATGTTGTCATCATACACGTCTGTATTTCAAATAGTTCAAAAGGAATTATTGGCTTTGTCATTATTCTATTCTCATCATGTATGATATCTAAATGCTTTAGACTTATGATGTATCATAATGATGCACAACTTATTCACCACAGACTGAGTCAAATAGAAGCTACAGCCGCATGAATGTTTGTCATGATAATAACAAAAAGTTTGTCACAGGAATGTAGTGTGGATTAGTTTTTACTCTAGGCTTCAGAGTGAAGAAGAAATAAACTGGGGAGGGAAAAGATTGAACTTTTTGTGATTTTTGTGATTGAAGTCAATATTTCATCAGCTTTGTTAACTTAATCCTGTTTTTCTTAAGATGTTTTGTATTAGCCATATTGCTCCATAAGAAGAGGTGCATTATGTATTCTTACCATCCTTTTACATTTTTCTCTACTTATTGTGTCTAAGGGGTTGGAGTCTGAGAAGTTTTATAATCTAGCTCTGCACTGAGGTCAGCAAAGACAGGATGCTAGATAAAGAGCTGGATCAGACCAGAATGGCATGGAACTCTGGCTTTTTGGAGAGCACTGCACTTTTCTTCTTCTGCCTTCTGGGATAAATGTGTGTGCATACCCTCATTTGGGGCTTCTATGTAGGGTCACAATGGAACTGGTGCCTTTCTCCAGCAGTCTCAGGGCAAAAGGTGCAGTAAAACCTCAATAGTTCAGCAAAAAAACAAAAAATCTAAAGAAATAGCTTAAACATTTCTTTAATGTTGACGAATCTGCAGGTAATCATATTTTAAAGCTTTGATGATGGTGGATCATTTGCCACTATTTTCTAACCTCTGATTGTGGTTTCAGAGCTGAAGTGCATGCTGGGAGATGTAGTTCCAGTCTGTTTATATATAGAAGGATCAACACAAGGATGACTGAAGTCAGGTGTCCTTTCTTTAACCTATAATGGAAAGTATTTCTGCTGTGTTTGTCTTTCCAGACCGTCTGCAGGATTATGTTGGAAAAGAGGAGGATTTCTCGGACCAGCAGCTCTGTGAACAGGAGAGGAATTCCAGTTCGGATGAAGAGGAACCAGAACCTCTGCAGATAAAAGAAGAGCAGAAAGAACCAGAACATCCCTGGACAAAAGAGGAAACCATAGAGCTCATCATAAATGAGCATGAAGAGCAGCCTGTTTTGGAGCAGGAAATGCAAAATAAAGGAGAGAAGCCTTTCTCATGTTTGACATGTGGAGAAAACTTTCTAAAAAAAGAACATTTAATGGTTCACATGAGAACTCACACAGGTCAGAAGATTTTTGAATGTCTGTTCTGTGCAAAGAATTTCACAAAGAAATCTAGACTTGATAGACACGTCAGAATTCACACAGGTGAGAAGCCTTATTCCTGTTCGATTTGTGGCAAGAATTTTACTTACAAGAGTCATGTGACTTATCACATGAGAATTCACACAGGTGAGAAACCTTATTCCTGTTCCATTTGTAACAAGAATTTTACTGAAAAAAGTGGTTTGAGTAAACACATGAAATTTCACACTGGTGTGAAGCCTTTTGTATGTCTGTCTTGTGGAAGAAGTTTCACCTTTAAGTTTGATCTTAACAATCACTTCCGAATTCATACAGGGGAGAAGCCTTTTTGCTGCACGATTTGTGGTAAAAGTTTTGTTCTAAAAAGAGATTTGACTAGACATATGAGAATTCACACAGGTGAGAAGCCTTTTTCATGCACAATTTGTGGCAAATGTTTCACTCTAAAGAGTGATTTGACTAGACACATAAGAATTCATACAGGTGAGAAGCCTTTTTCCTGCACAATTTGTGGCAAAAGTTTTACTCTAAAAGGTCATTTGACTGGACACATGAGAATTCACACAGGTGAGAAGCTCCTTTCCTGAATGATTTGTGAAAAAGGTTTTATGTGAGAAGATAAATAAAGTATTCAGATAACATTTATTCATGCATGATGTAGAATGATTTATATAAAAAAAAAAACTTAAGTTTCACTTAAGTCATAGCAGTTAGACACCACATGAATGAACAGTAGAGGCTTTTTCTATGTTTGACTGCTGATGAAATGTCCATCTTGAAACTCCTTCACATTGTTTGATGAGAAACTCATGGGTTAATGGTCTTTTTCGAGCAAGGTTTTGAGAAAGCCATTAATTAACATCTCTGTTTTATATAGAAACTAGAACGTCTAAGGTGTTGTATTTTAAACCTGGTAAATATTCGGGTCTTGGGCGAATATATGGATGTGAACTTTTGAAAGTTAAGTATTTTGGGTTTGTAAATCAGATTTAAATGGACATAAAGAACGTTGCCCTATCAAAAAAAGATGTTTACATTCAATTTCTTACTTTTTCTGTAATGAAGGGAATAAACATAATAAAGTGCAACATCTTGGTTGCAGATGAAGCTAGTTTGCTGTCCAACAACAAATTGAGAAGTTATAGTTAGTTATGTTTAAATTGAAAAAATCCAGGCAGACCCCTACTGAGCCATTTTGGTATGGTGTGGCACAACTTTTTCCGAATGAATTTACACAGAAAAAAAATAAAGTAATAATGTTAATAATGTATTAAAGAAATCTGCTTTTTAAAGATTTTTTGAAAGCCTAATTCTTTTTTAAACTAATTCTAATAGTTTTTTTGTTGATTCTGTAGATGTTCTATTTACCTGCTATGATTGAAGGTAACTATAACCTCTTTTATACAACTGATTTTATGTATTATATTCTGCTGTGGATGTTTTAAATGATTGTGATCACTTCTAAATCGATGAACGAGCAGGAATAAAAACCTCTTGGATTGTAAAAATGTGCTTCTTTATATGGTTTCATATAAATTACAATAAATCTTTTTCCATGTTTTCTCTGATATTTTCAGAAAACCCACTATCAATAGGTTATTGGCATTCACCTTCTGTCTGGATGACCAGAGAAGTTAGATCAGGAAATCTTTTAGGAATGTAGTCTGGACAGAGTTGGTTTTGGCTATTTGCACCTGATTGATAAATGTTTCAGTTGATATAACTAGGTGTGTCCAGTGCCCCTACAACCAAGCAACTAAAGGAATGAATGATAACTATGTGGCAGTGTTGGTTCCTGTCACTATGCCTTTAAGTGATAATGCTTCCTATCTACTTGGTAACAAGGTTGTCCCTTTGACTGTCTGGTAAGCGCGCATGAATTTCACCCTGGAATTTGTTGCGGACCTTATCTTGTACCATAAATCATGACGATGATTTTGGACATGGGGAATAAATGTCCATGCTTTACATCTAACGTGTCCATTGGGTTTGGAAGATGGCAGTTTTGCTCTGCAGCTGACTTTGCTCTACAGCACCTCCCCCCAAGATGGTATCACAGGACAGTCCTACAGACGTGCCTTTGCCAGAAAACTCCAAATCACACAGAATTTCTTTGTCTTTTTCTGGGAGGCTTTTAGAGATTCACATCAGAGAGACATCATCATGGTCTCATGTCCAGGGAGAGTTTCTGGCTAAATAATGTTTCTTTGATGATGTTTGATCATTTTATGTGTTTACTGCTGAGTAAAGCAAATATAAAGGAATAAAAACCTGGATGACTCTTAACTTTCTGCTTCTGAATGCAGACAAAACAGAAGTTATAGTCTTTGGACCAGAGTCTCTGAAAAAGAAACTGATTAGCCAGTCACTTCATTTGGATGGGATTAAACTGATTTCAGATAATAAAGTAAAAAATCTTGGTGTTGTTTTTGATCAGGACCTGTCATTTAGGTCCCATATCAAGGAGGTTTCTAGAATTTCCTTCTTTCATCTGAGGAACATTGCAAAAATTAGAAATATCCTGTCCAGGGGTGATGCTGAGAAACTAGTCCATGCATTTGTTACTTCAAGGCTGGACTATTGTAATTCTTTACTATCAGGAAGTCCACAAACTGTAGTTAAAAGCCTTCAGCTGATCCAAAATGCTGCAGCCAGAGTTCTAATGAAAATTAAAAAGAGAGATCATATCTCGCCTATCCTGGCTTCTCTTCATTGGCTTCCTGTTAAATCAAGAATAGAATTTAAAATCCTCCTTCTCACATATAAAGCCTTAAATGGCCAAGCTCCATCTTATATCAGAGATCTGATTGTTCCTTATGTTCCTAACAGAGCACTTCGCTCTCAATCTGCAGGTTTACTAGTGGTTCCTAGAATTTCTAAAAGTAGAATGGGAGGCAGATCTTTTAGTTATCAGGCTCCTCTCCTGTGGAACCAACTACCAGTTTTAGTCCGTGAGGCAGACACCCTGTCTACTTTTAAGGCTAGGCTTAAAACTTTCCTTTTTGATAAAGCTTATAGTTAGAGTGGCTCAGGTTATCCTGAGCTATCTCTATAGTTATGCTGCTATAGGCTTAGACTTTTGGAGGACATAGGGACCCCCATTTCATCATTCTGCTTCATTCTCTCTCTGTTCTCCTATTCTGCAGAATCTGTTAGTTCAATCTCTAACCTTCTGCTCTCTCTGCTTTTCCTCAGAGTAGCTTTGCCTCGTCTGTTCCTGTTTGGCTGTGACGTCATCCTGGAAAGAAACATCAGCTGTGCTGCTTCTATCAACACCCTTGTTTATAGATGTTGGAGATCGGCCTGTTTTCCAGTGTGGTCCTGTTTCTCTGACCGTGACTGAGTGGATGTGCTTTCTTCGTCCTCTGGCATGGGAGCTGCCTTGGAGCTCGTCTGCCTGGCTGTGTGTTTCCTGGACGGGGCCGCCTTTTACAGCTGCTTTTTGTATCTCTGCTTCTGTCTCCTTGAACCCCAGTCGGCCTCGGCAGATGGCCGCTCACACTGAGCCTGGTTCTGCTGGAGGTTTCTTCCTGTTAAAAGGGAGTTTTTCCTCTCCACTGTCGCTACAAGCATGCTTAGTGTGGGGGATTGTATTTGAGTCAATGAGTCAATGCAATCAACTGGTTTTCCTTAGATAGAAAACTTTGTATCAATTTGATCTGGTTGAACTGTAAAGTGCCTTGAGATGACATGTGTTGTGAATTTGGCGCTATATAAATAAACTGAATTGAATTGAATTAAAGACAAAGCTAACAAGATGGATCGCATGGTACTCTATATACCTGTTTACACTACTTTTTTTGTTTGTGCCGAGATCAATCCAAGCACGGTAACTGAGATAACTGTTGAGTATAAATGTCACGCAAAACTGAAGCAAACCGTGGTAGACAACTGAATCTTGCTAAACTGGTACTAGTTCTACAGTAGGGCTCGGCGAGGTTAAGTTCAGCCTCGGTTCTCGGATTAGAAAGGGTGCATTAGCAGACAACATCATCTCCTTACAGTCAGCCTCCGTAATCATGAGATTTCAGAAATTCATTAAAATCCTAGCTTTGTTTCACTAAGGGGTAAAACACTTTACTTTAACAGTCCTGTGTTCTCGGTACAATTTGATTACCAAGTTATGACCAAAAGTCCTTTAATGGGAATCCTCATGTCTGCTAGCTCACTCAAAGAAGTTAAAGAATCAATTAACTAAAACATATTGGTTTCTGGTTAGGCAAATAAATTAATAATTATTTGACCAAATAATATTTTATTCATCTCTTGGATTTGCATTACTAATTGGTTTGAAAACATTCCAATTGCTGTAAATTGGTTAATGCTAATTTGATCAAATTCCAAATTTTCAGGATAGATCTTTCTCAAAAACAAAATCCATGCTAAACTGTGAAAACATTTCATCAACTCATGTTTTTTAACCCTGTGTTTCCTTTGTGTATCTAGTAGTTTAGTTGAGTTTAACTAGTATTGTCAACAGTTTTTAACTGGAATATGTTTGAATTGGAGATGAATGATTTTTATCAATAAAATCTTATATTTTGAATGGAATTTGTGGTAAATTTATTCCATATATGTGCAGAATTATCTGTTTGACCATGATTTGAGGTTGTTTCACACTTTAATTTGCTCTTCTAACACACAGTCAGTAGAACGTGTGTTCACATATAATGTATGACAGTCTGAATATTCTCTGAGTAAATAACTTGTTCATCACCCCTACTGAGGTGGGCAAGAAATATATGAAAGTTGAACAACACCTGCAACATTATGGTGTTGCTTGTAGCATCCATGTGCAATACCTGCAAATGGTCCATAGATTGATAAATGGTTCTTTCAGCCCCTATGGAGGTTGTGGAAAGGAGGGATCTGATCCCAAATCCTTCTGGGTTAAAGCCACACACTCTTTCCAGTCAATCAAAGGCATTTCCCTAAAGCCAAGTAGCCAGGATGCATTATCAATCCGAGACATTGTGACATGACCCTATACTCTCACACGTGCAACTACCATAGCTGCTCTAAACCATACAACTATTAGGAGGTAGATTACAATCTTTTATGCTAGGAATAATTAGAGGGAAAATAACTGCAATTTCTTCAACTAAAACAATTCAAAAACAGAGATTTACAACATAATCTATGGAGTTACAGAAAGAACCTTTAAAAACTTTAGAAGACACAATTAAGACAAAATAGCACAAGGAATGAAATTGAGGAAATAAATCCTCAAGAGTTACAAAAGAAGCTCCTTTTTACAAACCAGCAGTATTATAAAACAGTGGGAAAAGCTTTGAAATGACTCTAAATATTTAAAAAAACTGCAAACAGAAAGGACAATACGCAATATTAGAAACCCATTGGCAACCAAAACAGAAATCCAATCCAGAGAAAATAAAGAAGTGTTTTGAAGAATATCAACAAAAATTGTATTCTCAGCCACAATTAAGGAATAACAACAATGATGCTTTCCTGTCCTCATTAAATCTGCCAAGGGTTACTGATGTTGAAAATGAAAGCCTGATATCAAACTTTACTAAAAAGCGGTTTTATCAGCCGTTAAACGACTGAAAAGAGGGAAATCTTCTGGAACAGATGGCTTCAATTCAGAGTGATGGAAATTTAACAGGGATAACAGGGAGAAATTAGAATGTAGTAATTATCATCCAATCAGAGCATTGAATATTGATTATAAATTATTCGCTTCCGATTTGTCTTAAAGATTCTAAACTATTCTACCAGACCT